TTCCTGGTCCTGATTAAACCCCCCCCCGTAGGTGCCCGTAAAATTCAGTGGTCTGTGCCCACAGCCTACCCGCCTGGGAGATTATCGCCAAGAACAGTTGGCAACAAGGGAACACTGGTGGTTATTTTTGGCTAGTTAGTCGTTATTTGAATAACCGGCGATTGGGACCTGAGTACAAGGCCCGCCAGTCTGCGCTATGGGTAAGACAAGCCGAATTGGGGTACACTTATCAGCAACACCCAGGCTCCTATACCAATTGTACCCGTTGTCTTGACACTAGACATCCACGAGGCATCTCGCAAGATACTGGGCTGCATAGCGTGGATAACAACCACGACCAGGCCAGTAAGAAACAACAAAACCGGGCTGAGCAGACAGCGACCCTCCGGTCCTCGTCTGAGGAGCAATTCATCGCTGGTAGTCAACACATGCTTCGGTACTTCCTTAAACGACAAGACGAACGGCTGTCCAGCCTCGGCGAGTTGTTGTCCAACTATTTGAAATTCCCTAACAAATGTAAGCAAAAGAGTGCAAAAAGCAGAGGTGTATGTACAAGACAATTGGAATAGACATAGCTGGGGGTAAGGAGGAGGAGGGAAACATACAATTGAGTATAAAAGAAAGGGGAAAGAAAAAAACACGAAAGCTGTGTGTACACACACGCACGCGCACAGTCAGTTGGATTGTAACTGGTGCTGCTTAGCAGGAGAATCGATTGTCCACTCCACAGGGGCAGAGGGGCTACCAGTTCCTGCCTCCGTTGGCGGGAGACTGTTGCTCTCCTCAGCCGCCGCCGCTGCTGCTGCGACTGTCAAAGCCTCCTCCGGTTCCGTGGCACAACTGCTTTCGTCGAAGGAGGCGAGAGGACTCACGAGGCCAGTATCGGCTCGTTTGGCTGAGACGCGTCTGCCGGACTTGGAGGTGGCGGGTCTCTTGTTGCGGAGACGGGAGGCGCTGCCAGGACCGGACTGCTTGATGGGAGTGCTCATGGCGACCGTGGAGGAACGTCTGGTGTTAGCGATTACGGTCTTGGCGCTGTCTACGGGAACACATGTTGGACACTCCCAGCTACCCTCGGGAATACAGGACAGTCCAACGCAGAAGGCATGGTAGCCACGATCACAGCGGTCACAGAACATCATCTGCTCTCCATTACCGGAGTCCTGACATTCGACACAGTGCTTGCACTCCATGCAGGACCAGGCATAACTAAAAGAAGGTAAGGGGGCAAGAGGTTAATGCTGCGGTGACCCGAGGACCTATTCAGTGTACAGGAAAGGAAACTCACGTTCGCACAACATCTATCATGCTCGGTGGGAGCTCCAGACAGCTGGGATGTCCAGCGCGACCACACTCAGCGCAACGGAGGGGGTCGATAACAGGCTGGCGGCAAACTGAACAGTCCTGTGAAGAAGCCTGTTTGACATCCTGTTCGCTGGCGATGGAGCCATTGGGGGCTTTTGAGGTCCGGTGGCCATGGGATTCTGTTTTGAACGGCGAACTCGAAAAGAGTAGACAGAGCCTCGAGTCAGGACAGTAGTGGGAGGTTTGTTGTCAAAAACGGAAAGGCACGCAGTAAATCGTCCTAACTGCACAGATTTGACATACATTATGGCAACTTCACTTAGGACGGCCTTTCCATAAGTATATTTACGGTATTCGACAGCTCGACCGTCAGTTTCGACGATGTCCACCGTGTGCTCTATACCAAGGCAGGGCAGGGAAGGTGACTTGTGCATGAGTTAGTTTATAGTGCTAGTGGATTTGCACAGCATCTACCGCACTCCCTCTTCCCCACTCCCCACCTGGACCCGATGCCATGACAGCCAAGAAGACCGGAGGTGGGGGTAGGGCGCAGGTGGCTGGCGGGGCCGGACCCGCACTTAGGCGTACCAAAACACTCCCTGGTCCACACAGCAAATGACCAGAATTTTCGCCCACAACAACAACAACACCCCAACGGGGGTCAGAGAGACGACGATGACTGACTGGGCAGCCATGCCCACCACCTGTGTACCTAGTGGGAGCGCAAGCACATCTACCGGAAACTGTCAGCGCATACTAGGCTGCGAGGGCCATGGTTTGCTTATACTGGCATAGCACACGCTGACAGACCTTTTGACATTTACGGTATCCGCAACATGCCTCACGAGCGCCAAAACATGCCATACGCACAATACTCTCTTTCTTTCTCAGCACTCCGACATGACTTTGTGCTTTCCCGCGAGGTTTTACCACTACAAACACTTGCTTGTCGAGGAGCTGAATGCGTGCAGTCCCTCGGCGACCTGCATACAACCTGCCGAACCCCTTAGGGATTTCCAACCGATCAAAAGGACTTCAAAAAATTAAAGTTTACCCGTTTGGTGGGATAGCAGAGGGTGCAGAAGATTTCTGCTCCAAGTTCACAGTGCCAGTAGCTGGTGACGACGACTGCACTACCTCAGTGGCATCCTTGAAGTCGGTTCCAACCGCCGCAAGGGGACGCAGGTTTCCGTAGCGCAGCATGGTCGGAAGAGGCGCTGGGACGCGCGGTTTGCGACAGGGCGTGGTGTAGAGGGCTCGTGATAGAGGTAGATAGGAGAGCTCAGTGGAGTTGAACTCTACAAAATTCTCATTGAACTGGCCGGGTATGACTGCAACTGGATACGCGCCGCCCTTCTTGATGCATTGCTGCAGAACTACCTCCTCGGGTATCAGACGGTAAGGTAACTTTGGCACATGAATCTGCATCGTCTGTAGGTCCCAGTAATAGCATCGCTCGCGGTGGCGTTCAGATAGGAGCTGACGGTTGAAGTCCGAGGCGGACTCCAGTGCTCGTTTTCGAGCTGCTTCTGCGCGTGCCTCCCCGCGTTCTATGCGAGCAGCCTAAAGACAGCAGATGAGATAAATTGTTTTAAATAAACGCACTTGCTACGGCATGGACAATATGTGCTACCAGGTGGCGCTAATTCTGGTCTTCTAGGAGACTCCTCATCAACACAGTTCCCCGCTGGAAGCCGGGCGATTGGGAACAGAATGTCTTAATGCCCCGAGCAATTTTGGTTCCAGGGCTATCAGATCACCCCGGCTAGGCCTGCCCGAAGGCAAAGAAGAGAGTTAACGGCGCTTGAGTCATATCGATCCGCTTGGATGGGTCTGAATTTCAGCCCTTCGGGGCAGGAATGGTAGTTCAAAGTTCCTACTGTCGATGCGAGAGGTTTGGTGGACAACGTAAGGGTGAGCCGGAGGGATAAGACAAATGGTCGCGTGCATCACAAGCAATCCTGTGCCGATTCCGTAATATGGCGGGTTCTAGTGTTTTTAACCGCTGTCAGGTGATAATTTGACCGTCGTCTGCAACGACGTCAACCATGTGCTCCACGGCAGGGTGTGCGCTGAGACGGTGGCTTGTGCAAGAATTATTTGCAGTGACTGTGGACTTTCGATGCATCTATCGCACTCCCTCCCCTCTCCACCCGGGTCCGGTGTCGAGAAGACTGGAGACAGAAGGGGATGTATTGGATGACAAAACTAGACAGTCTGCGCAAACCACACGCGGTTAGTTCACGCAGAATAGATCAATAATTCATAAAAACAACGGGACAGCGCGGATCCCGGCTGAGTGGAAGTGTAACAAAGGCCAGATTTGGAAGATGATACCGCAGCATGACTCTGTCCTGAGTAGAGGACCGAGTTACCCTCTCAGTTGGCAGTTTCCCAAGCCATGACTTTTGCGAACTATGATAGGTTCAAACGCATCAGACTGTTTATAGTGAGGAACAAGCTCTAGGAGTCGACCTCTCTTCCCCCTTCCCGAACACCAGTATGAACCGGTCAGTTGTCTGATGCGGGGATTGGACGCGGTGACTGACAGAGCTCGAGCCTGACTGCGCGTGCCACAACCTGGCCCACAAATATAACGCACTAGGACTTCACACAAAGGGGGTGTGCGGCTCGGGTCTCACACGTATCAGAGTACCATGAAGGTCATGTTATGAGGGCATCATAGAATCTGACTCTCAGTCCACCAGTCGGTCACTCCACACACAAATATACACTGGTCTGACTGCGAAGTCTGAGTTGAATCGTTGGTCGCCAACTTTCCAGGCCGCAGCTTTTAGCTCACCGTTATAGATTCAAGCGCCAGACTGTAGGGCTGGCTGATGACGGCTAACAAGCCAAAATAATCACTTCAATCTGCCTAGACTTTGTCGGTAATGTTATTTTGCCAAGATGCGCTGAGTCGACCTCTCTCCCTCCCTCTCTCTTTCTGCTACCCCACACGTTCACCAGGGCAAGAAGGCAGCTTAAAACTGCTCCATCTGTTGGCTCACGAAGTTCGCGCTGAATTGAGACAAACGGTGATTTAAGTGCGGCGAAGGAATGACCACGGTCGACAACGCAGTAACGGCCCCTTGTCCTTAAGCCATCGTATATACTACTCGTTTTTGTAGCCCACATTAAAAACAGAGGGTATGGCAGATGATAATTCAGATTGTAGCCAGGATCACTATGATGATGATGAGGAGGAGGAGGACGAGGATGACTAGGACACGTTGATCTGAGCTGAAAAGATCTGACCTCAACACCATAACTTCAGACGGACGGCCTACTGAAGCGTTAAATATAAAAAAACCTTGAGGCCGTACAGAGATGTAGTGCAATAACCTGTAAGACCACCTTCACACAACCTGAACTCGTGTCAATATTATCCCTGTGGCCCAGCACTCCTGTAGCGCATAGACGTGGTTGAAAACAAGTAAATCCACTGCAGTAGAAGTGAAAAGTCGGTATCATGCTTCCTGGACAACACTAGTGCGGTCCAGTTTATCGGACCATCGTGCATTTAGACATTCAAATGCTGCACGGGCCTAGCCTGTCGTACTCATGCACACAACAAAATCACAAAGACAATCCTGCCATCAGGTCCGCCAACGTCGGGAATGATTGACGACGTAATTTACATGATGTTTGTGCGTGGCACAGGTTAGAGGAAGGCTTGGACAGGTCACTGGAAAATTGGGAGAGCTAAATTATACAGAAAGTGTCTCTACATTCCGTTCTGAGCTGGAAGAATGCCAGTTGAAGAGATGACTCGCTCTTATTCAGGTTGCAATGTCACCTTCCCCCATAATCTTTATGATGATTGACCCATGTGACATACGCAGACCCTCATAACTGACTATTTGTGTAAGGTCGGGGGACAGCAGCTGCGTTGAACAGGTAAACACCATTTCAACCTTGTCGGCCATTGCGCGCACATCCATCTCGGGTCATTTGGACTGCGTATCGCCACTGGAAGGAGAAAGGAGCGAGGTGGATGCAGCGAAAGTCGCCACTGCGCTCTTCCTAGGACAGTCGAGGCCCCAGAATGATGTATCATGGGAATAAAGTAAGAGCACGATGGGGCAGACCTGTGCAGCATCAATGTCAGTCTTTTTCAGCGATCACTATGCTTCAATGGCATGATCAGGAAAACTGGAGGAGGATGGGAAAGCATGAACCGACAAGACATTTGGTCCGTCAATGCATGCAACCACACTTTCAGTCCGAAGGAACGTCGGGATTTACATTTTTACTGAACTACAAAATAGGCGGACTCTCTGGTAGAATGAATAAGCAGCCATGAATTATGATGCAGCGGAATTACCTGCAGGCATGGCAAAGCACTGATCTGAAAAGTCCGCTACCTATGAAAAGCTCAGAAGTTGCAGCGGCATTATGACAAGTTCAATATTGCGCACCAACCGGCACGGTTTTGGAGCTTTTGTACAGATGTTTGCCTTCTCTCCTCCTTCTCCTCGAAGAAAACGTCTCATGCAACTGCAGTTCGGGGAGTTATGTCAGGACAGGGCTTTGGCGGACCAGTGGACTGTGACCGGCGCACCCTGATTAGGCCTACCGTTACTGTTGCTGTTAATATAGTTCACAGAAACATCGGGGAAGCTACCAGTTTGATTAGAACTATCTACAGCCTAGATAAGATCAGACCGTTTAAACTGGAGGCAGAAAAAGTCTTAACATTAGAACGCTAAGGTGTCATTTACAGGTAGGAAGACACCTAGCCCATGGTAAAAGGGATATACATAGACAAAGGGGGCCTACTTCGTATTGGCGCTTTTGTAAATCAGCGAGCTTCTGGAATCGCCTTTGTCTAAATAAATCCGAGACGGCAACGTGAACATCAGGAAAATCGTTCTGCAGCAGAGTCATGACCTCCTCACTGCGTAGGGCCGTTAGGCCGAGCTCAGCCCGACCAGCTGGCACAAGGCCATTATTTTGCAGCCAGGTCCTCTCATAAGCATCCATGACACGCCTGGAAATATCGGGGTACCGTCTCTTGAAAGACTTAATCTAAAAAATCAGAAAAGAAGGTGAGGGTGGGGAAGAAAAACTTTAAAGATAGTTGTTTACGCATCACAAACCGAGTGTGGCATCCATGTCAGAATCTACTGCCTCCGCATTTAATTGAATCTAGAAGTGAGATCAACTTGGGGTTCGAAATTCGCCAGATTGCGCGCTTAGTGCATAAATCAAGTCATGTGGGATAGCTTATTGCAGTCGATCGTTGACCTTTTAGGCAAGCTCGGACCAGCGAAGAAGAAATCACTTTTCTAATGGGCTTAACCACGGTTGGTATGGCCGATGTGAAAGGCATTTGGATGTTGAATTTTGCTGTTGGTTAAGATCCTGGCTAAGTGTTTGTTGTGGACCGTAGGGCGTGGAGTGGAGCGTCAAGATGCAGGTTCGGTCGCGTCATCCGCCTGCGCCCTCCATCGCCTTCGGTCTTCTTGACTATGTCCTGACACCGGGCCCAGGTGGGCGAGGAGGAGGGAGTGCGGTAGATGCTGCGAAAGCCTAGGCTCACTACAAACTAATTCGCACGCAAGACACTGTGCCCGCTTCACCTTGTTGTAGAGCACACGGTGGGCATCGTCGCTTGCGACGGTTGAATTGTCGGGATGTGGGATGGCAGTATTATGGACGACACTTCTGGTCCAAGAATCACGCAGGCTTCAGACTGTGATGGCTTAGGGTAGTTCGGTGGAACCTTATAAATCACACGGACGACTTCGATGGGGTCCACACGATGCCCGGAATCAACAATGTATGCGCAAATGGTGCTGTTTATGCTTCTAATTTCGCCTTTTCTCAACGATGTCGGGATGTGTTTCTGTATTCTTTTGGATAGGCACCTACTCGTGCGACCCGCATAGCCTGCGTCACAGCAGCAAGGAGTAAATGCATATGGAGGCTAGAAACCTGTCCCTACTTTCGTGCAAAGCAGGATTGAGATAGAATAATATTCGAACTCTTGTCACCAGGAACTTTCCTTAAACAGCCCGGTTGGATCATCTTCTCAGTTCACTCGCTGCGTCCCTCACAAAAAGGAATTTTTAGGAACGATATGGTGGGTTTTGCGGGTCTATCAGAAATAATTTTGCAAAAAATCTGTCAGGATACCCGCTCTCGCAAAGCGGGTCCTGGACCATTCTTGATTTTTTGTCGGTAGTGTCTGCTGAACAGATTTTTCTAGCCCTTTGCGCCAAACAACAGATTAAGCTGCGTTTCTGCTGAAGGAGTACGAAATTGCCGAAGTTTGCATATTTTCCAGACCAAGTTATCTTCCGATAGACTCTTCTCCGAACGCTACCGTTAACTCTTCTGCTTAGGAAGTCTAACAATGGAGCGAACCTGCCGTTTACCGCCCCCAACATAGACTTGACCGATGAGTGCGCTTGGTTTACAGCATCGAAGGGGGCCGCTGTGTTGGTTTCTGCGGAGGCGATTGCGAAGAAGTCATCAACGTAGCGAACGTAATGTCTTAGCCTGTTGATCTGGTCGTTAAGTTGAAATTTGTCCAGCTCGTCCATGATGACATCGTCTATAAGAGGGCCAGGAGGCGAGTCAATTCCAACGCCGTCCACCTGCCTAGAAAGCTGGTTGTCAAGAAGAATCCGCACATTTAATGGGCACCTTTGCAATAGTTCCTTGGGTGCGTTTGTCAGTGTTCCCATTTCTTGATGATTGGCTGATAGGTATTCGCAGATTTAGTTGACTGTCTCTGCGACCGAGACGTTTATGAAGAGTGATGAGACGTTTAGCGAAAAAATTGGCATTCCGTGTAGGTTCAGGTGCTTGACGTCGTCAACGAATTCGAAGGTATCCCGACAGCTACGTGGTATTAGCTGATAATGCAGGGCTTGAGTTTCTCTACTACGTACTTGACTATCACATGATACAGAGAGTGACGCATTTTCAAAATCGGATTAACTGGTAGGCCGTTCTTGTGGATCTTCGGTAGACCATATAATCGAGGAGTATGTGTGCCGACTGGCCGAAGGTATTAGAGGTCATAGTCGCTTATGAAACTCCTGCTTGGAGTTTTCCTAGGCAATCAGTTCGATGTGCCTCTACTTCATCCGTGCAATTCTTTCCCTTGACTACTTTTCTGAATTTATTCTGATCTGACAACATGGACTGCAACAACCCAAAGCTGCCTCCTTTAGGGAATGCTTGGGAAGACGGGCAAAGAGAACTCAACCATGAAGTCCTTTAAAGAAATAAATTCTAGATTGCTACACGGAGGGTAAGTAACACCAAACAAACGGGGGTTTTCACCGGCCTCCAACAATGGCGGCCGTCGAGTTCATCTTTAAGCGGGTCGGAAACGACTTGGACATGAAACACGTTTTAGGTGATAGAAATTAGCAGCTATTCAGACAGCAAACATGCCCCATAAAATAAATGTTAGCAGCTTTATAACTAGCAAATGTGCAGAATTTACAAACGTAAAGAGAACATTTGCAGGTTTAAAACCCATTACAAAGACCAAGTTATCGCGTACAGCTGAAAAGAGAGGGGTTTGAAAATTATGGATTTCGACGCTATGGAAATGCCGAAATAATGTTGAGTGGCGGCAAAATGACCATCTGGTCCGATCTTTTTAAGAATCCTCTGGCAAATGCCCAAAGTACAAGCATATTTCAAGAGAAGCAGGAGGAAGAAAAGCAATGAAACGCATGTTTCAATTTCTATTATGGACGGACTTAGTAGAGGTAGCGTCACAAAACTATAAGAAAGCGCACAAACCTTCAGAAAATCAGCGAGGAGCTCCTGTACGACGTAGTACGCTTCGTCTGATGTGTGTGCGGGTGAGTCTTCGGCATCGACATTAGGCCATACGTATTCGAATAAGTCTTCCAGAACAATTTCCTCAGACACGCTTGCGAATGCACTGACGCGTGAAAGCATCGTTTCTGGCTTAATTCTAGAGTCACGACGACCGCTGGGCAAGCTCTGTCAGATAATAAAATTAAGATGAATTAGGCAATACAGGCTGTGATGCTTCCGAATCCGCGTCATTCTTTCGACTCGATGGTGTGAGTGGGAGCGCATCTAGGCTATCTTCCAGTTCAAAGACAGTCTCTTCGTCTAACAAATCCTTTGATGGAGTGCGACTAACTTCCATCTCAGAAGATCGAAAAAGCAACCGAAAGCACTGCCGGGCAAGCTATAAAACCGACACTTTGTTTGGTTTTACAGAAAGTGATTAATTAAAACAATGACAATGAGACTCACCAAAAGTTACTAAAGCCAGAAAATCTGCCTTATTGTCCACAGTTTAGGGTCGCAAACCAACGTTCAAGCAAATATTATTTTGAAAAACCGGCGCCACTAGCAAGTTCAGGCTAAACACTAGAATCTTAATAGCAGTTTAAATACTTAAAAATAGCAATGCCATATCGACAAATACAGGCTAACGATCAGCGTGCTAGTGCGCTTGAAAAGTTGTCAGTGATTAAGCTCACTAAATAGTTCGTTTTGCCTTTTGATGCCGACGCCCGAACTTTTACCCAATTTTTACTCGTGATAGATTTGCCAAGACAAAACAGTTATTGTGCCAGAAGAAGTCGAGTGCAACATAGTGAGTTTGAAATCTAATGAGTCTTTGAACCGGATCCTCTGGATATAGTTCTTCAGCAATTACTTACATCAGACCCTGACATTAGCCTATGAATTATCAGTAACAACGGAATTTGGGATGACAGTTCGACCGTCGATTTCGACGATGTCCACCGTGTGCCCCACAGCTGCAGCAGCGGTGGGAGCAGGGACGGTGACTTACGCAGGGGTTTATAGTGCCAGTAGACTTGCGTAGCATCTACCTACACTCTCTCCTCCTCCCCCGCCTGGGTCCGGTGTCAAGACAGAGTCAAGAAGACCGGAGACGAGGGAGGCCGCAGGTGGATGGCTCGGACGGATCCTCACCTTGGCGTTCCACCACACCCACTGGTCCAAACAACAATAACCAGGATTTCAATCAACACAACCGAGAGTTGGAGGCTGGCACGGCCGAAGCCGCACCTGGGCGTGCCGCCAACGCCTGGCTCGGATCCCACACTGTGGTGGGAATGCCATAAAGGCCACATTAAAAAGGAGCCATTGCAGCCTGACTCTCAGACCGCCTCCAGTAATGGAGGAGGTCCAAGGTACCCCGTCAGTTGGCAACCTTCCAAGCCACGGCTTTTAGCGCACCGTGATAGCTTCAAGCGCGTCAGATTGTTTATAGTGAGGAGAAAGTGCGCTGAGTCGTCGACCTCACTCTCCCTTCCCATTCCCACACCCCAGCCGCTGTCCGAGCCGGTCAGAAGACTGGAGTGGGGAATGACGCGGTGGCTGACATGGTCGACTGACCGTGCCTGCGCGCGCCACAGCACGACCTGGCCCCCCATACACACAAACACCAGGATTTCACACAACGGGGGTTGAACGGCGTGTCTCTCACTTGCGTGAGAGGGCCGTGGAAGGTGCTGCTTCAGCCCGTCCCCAGCCCACCAGTCCGCCACTACACA